GCCAAAGCTGCAGTTACTAATAATCACTTTTATAACCATTTATGAAACAGCCAAAGCTGCAGTTACTAATAATCACTTTTATAACCATTTATGAATGAGTGGCATCCACTGGCCGGGCGATCAACCCCAAAAGGCATTTTCATGATATTGCCATTCAATCTATTATGTTTAATAATTGAACCATGGAAATAATGAATTTTTTTTGTTGAGAGACAAGTCAAACGGCTTAATGTAAGCATCCGGGTTTTGGGACTTGATGGTTACATGTCTCGTAGTAAAGTGTATTTCTAATTCAAAAGTTATGATTGAAATCTCTTTTTTTAAAATGTAATTCGTTAAAAAAAAATTGAATATAAAATAAAAAATTTAAAATATGAATTAATAAAATTTAATAGTAATATTTTTTAAATTTTAAATTCAAATCTAAAAATATTACACATGTAAAGTTAATTTTTTTTTTTTGAACAACACATGTAAAGTTAATTTTTTTTTTTGAACAACACATGTAAAGTTAATTACGCGAAAAAAAGGAGAAAAAAAAAAGAGATAAAAGATTATTTCATATCATTATTACAGTTGGCCAACAAGTACTGTTGTAGGCTAGTTGTTCAATTCGGAAGCTTACTTGTGGCTGAATCGGCGATGGAGACAAAATCCAATCCCACTTTGTTTTTAGCAGAAAGTTTTGGATCACCAACCTTAGTCCTCGCCAAAGCCTCTTCACAGTAGGTGTAACCATCCCCAGCTACTTTGGCGTCATAATTTGCCGTCAATGGGTCCAAATCTATTTCCATATATGAGCTCTCCAAAGAACCCTTGGCATAGTTGTATTGTTTCACACAAGTTTCCAGAGCTTCCTTCAACTCCGGCTTGGGATCATTGAACAATGCATTATCTACGTAAGAAAGTAAGTCAATTGCATTAATAATGACGGACACCAGAGCAGCCTTGCATAAGGTAACAAAATTGGTTGCAGAGGCAGCTTTCGGATTAGATACAAGAGTGGTGGTGCAGAGGCTGGGGTTGGTTGTCTGGCTGCATACCTGTTTGATCAAATCGGATTCTGCGTTGATTTGGCTGGAAAAAGGGAGGAAGAGACACAAAAAGATTGCTAGGATTAAGAAAGTGGGAGCATTCATGGTATGACTCTTTGCGAATAATACTAAGTACAATAAACTAAGATGTTTGTATTTTAGGTTGATTTTATAGGCAGATTAAAAATTGGAAATGGACAATTATTTGGAAACAAATCTCCCCTATAAGGGAAGAGAATCATTAAATATTTTATAACCTTTTGTGGATTTGGATGCCAAGTATAATTAAAGGGTGGGGTTATTGTTACGTATGGGACTATTGTTATACCTTAAATAATTAATATTATATATTTTTAATATAATTATTTATTATATTTTTTTTTCAAAATTTTACACTTTTTTATTTATTAATGAATTAAAGAGTATAATAATTAATTAAAATAAAAAAAGTGTGTATTGATAATTAAAAGTGTGAGAATAACATTACTCATAATTAAGAAGAAAAGATGTTTATAAGTTGGATTTATAAAAAATTAAGTGAAAAAAAGATTCAAAATTACGTCATTTTAATAATCTCTAATTGATAAAACTAAAATAACCTACTCCCTTTGATGAGATTTTGTTTTCCCACTTTCTAAATAGAGGTAATCTTTATTTCAATGTTTTAAAATCCGGTCTAGTGGTTGATCCATTTTGGTCATTGGGTTTGGTTCAACCCGTTCAATTGATTTAATTGATCGGTTTAATCGGTCATTTAAAAAATTATTTTTTTAATATTTTTATTAGATCTTACTCTTATATATTATTTTTATT